CACACACACACACACACACACTTCCTTTCTATGTATTTTTATAACTTTGTGTCAATTTCATGTTATTTGCCATATGCCCATTATGCGTACACATTAAGGCCCATGAGCGTGTGAGAGTGCAGCATCTTTGTACATAGAGACGATCTCTGTCTGGCGGCTCTGAAAGACGGCGGAGCGGTGGGAGGTTTTCAATCTGTGGCGTGCACTCTGTGGCTGGAAGAGGCGCGGTTCGTATCAGCGTCTGCGTATTAAACTTCACACGGAGAAACCTCGAGAAACTGCAGAGGTACGTTTAGATTAACTTTGAAGACCACTGTTTGAACTGCGACCTTAAAAGAAAAATCTAACTTCTCAGTTTAAACTATTCCGGACATTTTCCGCGCTCTTGGCTTTTGTGAATCTCGCGGGGTGGAAGCTGGTGTCGAGCATGAATGGACCACTGTGAAGTTGAAGTGAAATGGGAGTAATGTGCGCTTGCAGTATATATATGCTAACTAACACGGTGTAGTTCACACAAGTGATCTCGGTGTGGGGTTTTAGTGGCAGCTGTTTTTGTTTGGTAGCTCACGCTCCACACTTAGAAGCGATTACAAAACGAAGTGATGGTGAGTGAGCAGGATGGCTGCACCGTTGGCATTTTCTTTACCAAGAATGGAAGGAGCTTAGCCGTATCCAGGACGGGTTGGTGGTGGGAAAGTTCCCCGATACTCCCGAATACTTCCGTTATTCCCTTGTATTGATTTGGTGAGTTGGGACAAGCCCTTACACCAAACAGAACTGACTCATTGGACTTGATCTTGTGCCATGGGTGGGTGTAAATATAGAAACATACAAACAAGAATATGCAAGACATGTCAAAAGAAAGTTTGACGAAGCTAATTATGGCATCTAACTCTCATTCTGAAAGATGGGTGGGCAAGATAATTAAGATAGTAGTTAAGTAGACTGGTAAGAGTTTAAAACCACTGTTTAAAGCACCCGTGTTTGGTGTGTGCTAGTTTAACTTCCGTGTTAAAAAGCTAGAAACAGCTTTCCTGCTGGCTATACGTTACATTAAGCTAGTATATGTTAATGCGTTCGTGTGCACGCGCGCCTCCTCGTGCGCGGGTGCGCTAACGGCAGGAAAAACCAGCTTGTCTACGTTGTTCAGATGCTTCATCAAGACGCTCCATTTCGTAGTTTTACTAACGTTACTGGAACAACTTGTTTTGTGTTTTGGTCAAGAGCCAACATTAGTTATGTATTAAAATACTTCCTATTCAATGAAAACGTTGTTTGTTGTTTGGACCTGTGTGTTTCCTTAGTGTTATAGCCTCTATAAAAGCCTGTTGACGCTTAGTCACACAGAACTGGAATCCTATAGGAATTTACAGAGGTCATTTAGAAAAGCTGCAATGGCTTGTAGCTAGTCAAAGTGTGCAAAGCCAGTGACAGGTCAAGTGTCCGTTTCACCTATTTCTGGTGACATAGGTGGGGGGAGAAGTGTAGTTGTTTAGTTTAAACATAAGGAGTGGAAAACATCTGTCGTGGCTTTCACTGATGACAGACTACCTCGTTTAGAGTATAGATGGCAAGATACCACTTTTTTAATGACCGATACTGATACCGATATCATAAATTCGGATATCTGCCGATACCGATATGAATCCGATATAGTGTGTTTTTTAATCAATAAAACTGTTTTTTTT